CCCTCAGAGCGCCCCTGACCCTGTCCCTGGCCACCCACATTCTGTTCCTCTCTTGCTCCCTCTGGTTCTTGTGACTCGGTCTCGGATCTTGGAAGTTGGACACTATGTCATGAGCTCCAAGAGAGCAGGGACCAGTGGGTGTGGGTCCCTGCCGCCTTCTCAGTGCCGAGCAGGGAGCCGGCGAATGGGTGAGAGTCGGGGATGGGCACACGCTTAACCTCGTGCTGGCCTGCTGGAACCCGATCCGATTTAATTCACTCAGGGAATCCCGTGGGCACTCTGCTAAAGGTTATGAGGTGCATATCTGTACTTGCAAAGTTGTCCCCCAAACCCCAGCAAACTTATTATGGCTACCCAATAAATGCCAACCCATTTTACTAGTCATCATAATATTATGACCTGTGAACTCTTCTTCCAAATCAAGGGCGGAGGTGGGAGTTCTCTCCTCAGCGGGGCTTGCCTATGCCTGGCCTAGCGCGCTAAAACCCCGATGACTGTACCGGAGTGGCGTTAGCATCTCTGGTAACTGGGCCTGACTTTCCCTTAGGCAATGACATCCTTGCTTTTCCTTCTTCCCTTCCTCTTGCTTCTTCTCGATCTCCACCTATTCCACAGGTACCCTGATGTGGAGTCATTGGTGGGCCCAGAGCTCCCCAGGGACGGGGTGATCAATTGATACATAGAAGGGCCCATACTGTTCTTTGCAGCCTGGAGGATGCCAGGTTAGCTGGGCTCTGGCATAAAAGGGCAGGCCACGCCCCTTCCAGAACCCACTCTTCCTCCCCTGGGCTCCCGCAGCCAGCACTTACTATAAGGTCTGCGGGCCTGTCTTCCCCTCTGGGCACCAGCCACAGTCTTAGCTAAGGTTGAGTTCACAGTGCTGCACAGACGGGGTGCCGTGTGCCAAGTTAGTGAAGAATGACCCCCGGAAGAATGACCAGTGAACTGCGAGGTGCCCCCACCTAACCTTGAAGCCCCAGGCCAGTGCTTACCTCGTACCCTAGGAGGATTCCATTCATGTCCTGCTGCACAGGGTCCCAGGTCACGTTCATCTCTGAGGATGAGACCCCCTTGGCCCAGACCTTGGTAGGGGCCACCCTGGGCTCTGGGAACCGATACAGAATGGATTTGGATTCCCAGGGCCTCCTTGTGCCCTACAGAGTAGTTGCCAACTGGGATGGCCCTTGAGTAGGACTTTAGAGGGCCCAAGGTCCAGGATGAAGGCCGCGTGGGGATTCCCAGAGAGCCTCCCTCCTCCTTCCCCAAGCCTGAGGAGGAGACCAGGTAGCAAGGGCTCGAAATGAGGCCAGTGGCTTAGAACCCAGGTGTCCTGTCCACCCCACTATGAAACTGAGAGGAGGTGGGGGGTGGGAGTAGCACTTCCCCACCCTACCCCCCAGGGACACGTATCTGGGGTGGAGCGCGGGGTGGGGTGCAGGGGTCCCCGGCGTGGCCTACCTTCCTCAGCCGAGTACACGAGCGCAGTGAGGCTCTCGGGCCCATTCCCACGGCGGTTGTAGCTGCGGATCTTGACCTCAAAGGGCGTGTAGGGCCGGACGCTGTCATTGCTGTAGACGAAGTACTGGGCGTCGGCGCCGGGCACCTGGGCAGTCTGCCAGCTCGTGCTGCCCTGCCTGCGGAAGGACAGCAGGTAGCCGAAGCCGTCTCCGTTCTGGTACTCCCGTGACATGGGCTGAGGGGCAAGAGCGTGGCATGGGCAAGGGGCCGAGGGTGCATTTCCTGCCCATCCTCCGGCCCCACCCAACCTTCAGCACGAGGGTCGGCCCCAGGATTCGTGCGCCTGTGGCAGTTTTTATCCTGCATGGCTGCTCCTGCAAGTGGCAGCGGGTGTAAGGAGGAGAGGAAGTTTTCTGGTCTGGAGCAAGACCACAGTGGCCCTGTGTGGGTCCTCTCTGAAAGCCACTTCAGCCCAGAGGTAAGTCAGGACAGGGGTGGGGGAGGCAGGACTTGTCCCCCCATCCCCCCGGAGTACAGGAGGTGCATTTCTGCCTCTGTCCCTGCAGCCTACCGTCCAGTTAACGATGAGCTCTCCGGGGGCTCCGCCACCTCCACTGAGTCCTGAGGGTGCCACTGAGGGGGCTGTCAGGGCCAAGGAACACAGACGTGGCTTGTTAATGGACAGTGAGGGAACCAAAGCCCCGAGCCTGAGCCTGTGCTTGTAAAGCATCCTAGAATGGGGACGCCCTGGTTTTGTCCACTAACAGTCCCTCTGGACCTGGTCTCTAGAGTCAGACAGAGCTGCGATCAAATCCCACCTCTGCCACTTACTTGCTGTTTCTCTGAGCAAGTTACTTAACTCTCTGAGCCTGATTCCCTTTCCATAAGGTGAGGATAGTATTTCTCTCAAAGGGCTGTAAAGAGAATAAAATTAAGACGGTGGCCAGTATCTGTGTGTGTTTCCATGAATGATTCTCGTCCCTTCTGTCGGCTTAAACTAAATAATAGAGACCAGTTCCAGTTTGCCTTTTGCTTTAAATTAAGGGGAATAAATAATCCTGAATTGCAGTCAATGCAAAAAACTTTTCTTTTGGATTGCAGGGTTTTATTTTTTTCTTTTTGCAGCAGGTTTAATTTCCCAATTGTCTCTAATATTAAACAAGGCCAACATTAAAACAATAATGTATTTTATCGGCTCACAAAGCTTGGCAGGGGGTAACCTGGCTGAGGGTCAGAATATTTCTGCAGATGATCCAGCAATTGGAGACATATCCCTTGGTTTGATGACTATAGCTTAAGGCCTTGTAATTTGCAAGGAGCACTTAAAACACGTTGCCCATCTGGTCCTGTGAGGTGGGCGTTATTGTCACCTTTTCAGGGTGGAAAGACAAAGGCCTAGAACAGTTAAGTGACTTGTCTAAAGGTCACAGAGCTAATAAGTAGCACAGCTAGAATTTGAACTCAGTTCTTCTGATTTCAGAGCCCATCGTCTTTCCTCTGCGTCTAGCTGTCTTTGTGTTTACCAGCTGGGGTACTAGAATGAAAGAGACCAGTCCCCGCCCAACATCTGACTGCAAGAAGCCCAGTCAAAGAAAGTGCTCCTGGAGTCCCTTACTCAGGAGAGATACTAGTTAAAAATGATGGATGATTCCAGAAAGAGCCCAGAGAGTCAGGCTGGGGCATAGAGGGAACTATGTAGAAGAGACACAAGCAGGCGACTCTCACTGCACCCCCAGTGGGGCGGGCCTGGGTGGGCAGGAGAAGGGGAGGCAGGGTCCTGATCCACGCTGCCTGGTCGATCCCCCAGGGCTCTGTGGAGGAGCCTGTTCCATGACGTGACCACTGTCTGTCCCACCAGCTGGACCCGGGCCAGAACGGAGACTTCTTTCCAACCCCGCCCAAGAGACTGTCTGATCATAAGTGATGTTCACTCTGACATAAATCAGCACCCCTTTGCCTCCTGCTACTTGCGGCTTCCTGGAACAGGCTGTTGTCCTCACCTGGTCGAGCATGTAATTTCCTATACCTGGTAGTATTCAGGTACTAGTTAGCACCTGTGCCTGTTTTCCCCTTTTACTGTATATAATTCTTTGGTGCCTGTCAAGTGGCACAGACACTATCCACTTTACCTTGTAGCCGCCCAAGATGTGCCTCCAACTTAAATTTCTCTTAATGAACTTCGTTAGTTTCCAGACTGGCGTGGCCTGCCTCTTTCTTGGGTCTTTCCCTGCCCTCCACTCACAGAGGTAGATTTTCAGTCTAGGGACCTTCCCCCTGGGTCTGTGTATACTAATAGGCTCTCATGCTGGGCTCAGTGGGCGGCAGGAGCCTTTCAACAGATGCTGTCGGGGCCTGTTCTAGGTCTCTTCCTCACTCATTCCAACATCCATGTGCCTTTCAGGAGGGCTGTGGGCAGATGATCCATTCCTCCCGTTCCCAAAGAAACCATCTAGAGGACTTGGAGACACTGGCCGTTTCTCTAGTCCCCTGCACAATGTACACACACATGCACGTGCACGTGCACGCACGTGCACACACACACGCGCACACACACACTGACATACTCGCATACTCTCATGTTTCTCTAGTCCCCTGCACAATGTACACACACACGCGCGCACACACACACTGACATACTCGCATACTCTCACATACCTTCCTCGTTAACTGATATCTACATCTCATGTACTTCCAGGGAGGACATCCGACCACCACCCCATGGGCCTGGGTTCAAGTCCAGACTCTGCCAGTGTGACACTTCCTTTCTTCAAACTCTAGCTTTTCCATTTTTTTAAAAAAAATTTTGTTTCGAGATAGTGTAGATTCATAGAGACTTGTTAAGGTTGGCCCATGTTTTAAATGAGGAGTCTGGACTGGATGATTCTTCCAGACGCGACAGGCTGTGGCCCAGGGCACAATGTAGCATGCAGTGCTACGGCCCAGCCCCAACCTGTGTTCCTTTGTCCTCTATTTTTTTAGAGTCTGAACCTGGTGAGCAGGGTTGGAACCCTGTATAATTGCTGTTTGCTTGGGGTTCCCCAATGTCACTTCTCTTTGGGACACCCAGGACTCTGACCTGCTTCTTTAGTCCGGATTTTGCTGGAGGGCCCACTGGGCTCCCCAGTGCCCAGGATGTTGCTGGCTATGACCCGGAACTCATAGTCCGTCCAGGGCGTGAGGCCCAGCACCTGGGCAGTCTCCGCGTTGCCCTCGATGTTGGCAGGATCTGCAAGGCACCAGGGAATCAGCGTTCCGGCATTAGTTTATTGGTCTGGATGGACAGGGCAGGGACTGGGCCCGTACCCAGCTCTCCTGTTAGTGCCTGACACATACTAAGCGCTCAATATCTTTCAGAAATGACCAGAAAACTAGGAGACTTCCCCGCCCTGGAGTCTGCTGATGTTTTACGCACTCCGCAGCCCCTGGAATCCCGTCCTGCCAATGCTTCAAATGTGCAGACAGAGCGCCTCCTCCCGCAACTCTCTCCCCACTCTCCTGCTGTCCATGTGACACCATCTCCCCACTGGCCTGGGCGCTCCCTGCAGGCGGATGGCCCAAGCTTGTTCCTCTCTGAAGCTCCAGGCTCAGGTCCAGCCCTCTGAGCCACCTCTGGCACACAGCCAGGCCTTCTCAGTAGCGACCTGGGGTTGGGGGGCAGAGGGGCTCCCACTTACTGGTCCGTACTTGCTTCCACTTCCCTGAGGATGGAGTGCGAGCTTGCAGGGTGTACTTGGCAATGGGGCTGTGGTTGTCGAAGCCACGGCTCCAGCTGAGCTGGACGGTGGTGTCACCGATGTCCCTCACCACCACTCCTCCTGGGGGACCCGGTGGACCTGCACCAAGAGGTCAGAGCACTGTGGGTCAGAATTGGGCAGCGTCAAATTGGAGCCAACCTCCTCCAGGCTGGTTTGGGCTGGTGCAGTACCAATATGGGCAGCAGAGGGCGCCACAAACACACACCCCAGTGGGAGGGCGAGGAATCGGGCAGTGGGTGAGGAATGGGGCCGGGGGAGTGGGAGGGATGTGTCCGAGGCTGGAGGGGTCATAGAGGCCCTCGCGTAGGGATACATTTCCCAGCACTAGGCTCTGAAAATCTGGCCTCAGCAAAGTTCTTGGGATGTATTTAGGAATGGAGTTTTTAAATTTTGGCTTTGGGGGAAGAATACTCTGTTCATTCAGGACCTGACAAGAACCGCGGGGGTAAGTTCTGCTCAATGGACTTCCGTCAGAGGCCCTTCCCCACAGCTTTCAGGGAGAGGAGGGGAGTTAGGGAGCGAAGGTCATAATAGCCCAGCTGGCCTTTGAGGGAGTTGGGGCGGGAGTGGGGCGGGAAACCCCATCACCTCGGACCAGGACTGTGGCCTCCTTGGACGCACTGTCTACCACCGTCTGGGCCATGCATGTGTACTTTCCGCCGTGGCGCAGCTGGGCGTTCAGGATGGTCAGATCCCCAACCGTCTCCTTCTGCACACGGGGAACAGGAAGGGGACAGGTCAGGGGGCACAGCCCTGCCTAGCGTCCCCTGCTCCATTTCATCCAGGGTTCCTGCTGCATCTTGGTATTCCTATCTGTTCAATGGGAGGAATCAGCTATTATTCCTCACTTGGTAGCACTGGGGACTAAACAGTTTGTTACACAAGGCAGTCAATGGCGGTCCAAGTTAGTGATGTCACTTGCATTGGGGGGGGCGGGCAGGATAACTAGAACAGTAGTTGAGAGTGAACCTTGCTGGGTGCTTGAAATTCCAGGTTTGTCCCTAACCTCTCCTAAATGCAGACGTTGGGTAGAATCCAAGGATCTGCCCGTCTGAGGGAGGGTGGTTATGAATGGAAGGATGAGCTCGCCATGGTTGGCATTCTTGAGAGAATGGGGAAAAGCTGTGGGGTGGTAGTGGTTAAGGACATTTTGGGTCTCCTGTCTGTCTAGAAGGAGGGAGAAGCCCGGGCCTTGGCCTCAGGCCTCACCACACTGGCTCTCCGGTAGTGGCCCCCGGGCTTCTCAGAGTCGATAGGGAAGTCATCCAGGGTCCAGATGAAGGTGAGGTCCATGGTGGGGTCGTGGGAGGCATGGCACTGCAGGGTTAGGTTGTCTCCCAAGTTGATGTCAGCACTTGAGGGGGCCAGAGTGATCTTGGTTGCATCTGCCAAGAAAAAAAAAAGGCCCCTAGGTGGATGGGGTGTGAGGATTTGTCCTAAGCCCCAGGAATGAGAAGAGGCAGCATAGCCAACAGTATCCTGACCTCCCAGCAGCCCCATGGGTGTGTGGGAGGGAGGCAGGACTAGATTCTGGAAGGTGGCGAGAGGCTTGTCCTTAGTGAAACCATATGCCGGGGTAGCCTCAAAACCAAACTAGGAGGAATGTGGGGACACAAGGGCAGGGTGGCGAAGGAGACGGTTCCCTTTGGTGGCTGAGCCCACCCACCTCAGCCAAAACATAGCCCTTACCTCGCACAGACAGGATGCCGGTGCTATTGGCTTTGCCCATGAAATTCTCAGCAAAGCAGGTATATTTCCCTTCATCTGACCGACTGATGTTTCTTATGATCAAGGTGCCATCCGGAGTTACAGTCACTCTGCAGCAAGGACAGGCCAACCCAGGCACACACTGTAGTCCTGGCAGGGGCGGGGGGGGGGACTCACCTCCGAGGAGAATGAGAGGGGGCAGGAATTGCCTGGGGAAGGGCGCAAGTTGTACCTGCTGCTGTTGACCAGAATCTCAGTGCCTTTGCTCCAGAGCACCACGGCCTTTGGCGCTGACCGCGGCTGACAGGGGATAATGACCTCTCCCCCCCGCGCCGCAGGGATCAGGCGCCTTACGGGGTTCAGCCTGAAGTCGGGGGCCAGTGCTGGAAGGAAAAGGGAGTGCTCCACAGTCACTCAGGGAGTCGTAACAGTACCTGTTGCCTTTGATTAAGATGTCACCTGGCCTTGTGCTAAGTTACTTTACTTACCCTCGTGGTCAATCCATGAGTGACTCTTAGTACCACTTCCAAAATACACCCAGAACCCAGCCCCTTCTCCTCACCCCACTGCCACCAGGCTCCTCCAGGCCACCGAATGTCCTGCTGGACAGCTGAAGCTCCCGAATTGGTCTCCCTGTTTCTGCACTTGCTTTCTACAATCTCTTCTCCACCCAGCAGCCGGGAATATCTTTTTAAAAATGTGAGTCAGGCACCGAAAATGAAGTCCCCCTCCTCCCAGGGATTCACAGCTAAGTCCACTCTTCCCCAGTCCTGTCTCGCTTCACTCTCTCCCTCAATGTGCTCCAATCGCCTGGGCCATTTTTGACCTTTGAAGGTGCCACATTTTCTCTCGTCTCAGGACCTTTGCCCTGGTTGCACATTTTGCTTCCCCCCAATCTTCACGTGGCTGGCTCCTTTGCAACACTCAGGTGACACCTCCAGAGAGATTTCCTCAGAGAGATCTTCCCTGGCCATTCTGTCTCACTGGCCCGCTTCTCCTCTACCTCTACTGGATTTTCTTTATACTGTATTTTTTATGGCTGTCTGAAATTGTCTTATTTAATTATTCAATTTTGTGTTTATTAGTCCCTCTCCACTGGACTGTAAGACACGTGAAGGCAGAGAACTTATCTCAGGAGGTACTGAATAAACATTGGTTGAATGAATGAATAAGTCTTAGTTAAGCCTCACTACAACTTGATGAGGTAGGTATTACTACGTCCATTTCACAGATGAGAAAACCGAGGTTCCACGGGCTCAAGAAAACGAGCAGCCGCTGACACTCACTGTTACGCGCCGGGCAGCCCTTTATGCTTTATCTCTGCCGTCTCGCTGTATCCTCACAACTGCTGTATGAGGGCAAGACTATGGTCCACGTTTTATAAATCAGTAAACTGAGACACAAAGAAATTGATTAACTTGCCAAAGGTCACATAGCCAGAGGGGCCGAGTTAAATACAAATCTAATTGATTTGGTTTCCAATGACTTCGGCTCTTTTTTTTCACTGCAGCAAACATTTAATTTGTCCACGCCAGACATGGAACGAGCCAGAGACCTGTCCTTTGGGAGCTCTCAATCTAGTGTCTCATCTCTTTTCTTAAATCCCTGATTTCTGCTCAGAAGCTGTTGAAAAACCGAGGAAAGTGCCGGGGTGTGTTTCGTGTTTAGAAATGCTGCGACTCAGTCCCTGGGGCCCTGCCTGTGCCTCCCCGGCGATGTCCCCAGCCTCCCTGGGCCCTTTACCTTGTACGGCCAGCTCAGCACTGGCGTAGATGGTGCCATGCTTGTTCTCTGCCACACACTGGTACATGCCCGAGTCCTCCAGGCTCAGCTTGGAGAACCGCAGGTCCCCGGCCAGCACCTCCACCCGGTTCTGTGCAGAAGAGCCCGGCCCAGAGCGGGGCAGGGGCATCAGGGCCACCAGAGGCCCAGGGTGCAGGGGCCAGCGGGAATGGGTGCAGTGGGGACTGTAGCTAGGCTGCCACTCCCGTGGGGAGGGAGTTCATAGGCCCAGTCTCATGTCTGGGCCACCTGGAATTCTAGGACTCAGGGATTTCCCAGGCCTCCCTGGACATCAGCACACTGAAGCCAAAGGGATGAAGTGATCACTCAGGACACAGTGTTTTTGTATCTGAGTTGTGTCTGGACCCTCCAGTCAAGTGTCTATCCAGTTGACCAGCCTGTGGCCATGTAGCTCTGGGATGGAAAGAAGCACCCAGAACCCCCCTGTGGCACTGTAATTGGCCCAGAGGGGCTGCCAGGGATGCAGGGAGGGATGGTGGGGTGGGGGGAGCTAGAGAAACAGGTGAGCAGAGGATAGTGTGTGGGAGGAAGCCCCAGGTCTCCTACCTGGGAGGCCAGAGGCTCCCCGTTCCGCAGCCAGCGCACTGTGGGCCGGGGCTTGCCAGCAGCTGCGCAGCCCCAACGCAGGCTGGAACCGATGTCGGCTTCCATGTCCGAGATCACCTTGAGCCACTCGGGTTGGGCTGTGGGGAGCAAGGGAGAGCGACTGGAGATGAGCAGTCTCCAGCTCATTAAATGGGCCCTGAATTGCAGGCCTGCAGTTCCTGTGATGGACAGCAGAGAGCGCCATGAGCATTCTGGGACGGCGCGTGGCAAGAAGTGGGCTCGAGAAAGTTGGCAGTTTGAGCCTGTGCCAGAGGCTGTTTTAACAACTTTTCTCCCATGTGTTTTCTGCAACCCCGACTGAAGCTCTGAGGTGGCCGCAGCGCTAGTCTCTTCTGTTCCCACATCCAGTGCAATCCTCCAACCAGGAAGCCTTAAAGCGAGGGGTTTCCCAGTCTTCCCTCTGACTTCTGGGTGCACTTTCTCAGGGACAGGGGTGAGTGAAGGCGGAGGGTGTCTCAGGCTCATACCCTGCACGATGATGCGGCCCTGGACGCTGTCTCGGCCCTTGGAGTTCTCCGCCTCACACTCATAGGTACCTTCATCCTCGAAGCTGACTCTGGGGATCTGCAGAGTGGGCTCGGCTGTGGCCCACTGCGGGGACAAGGAGCCATCCACTTTGCGCCACTTGATTCTGGGAACAGGGCTGGCAGGGGAGACAAAACCAGAGGGGGGCTAGTCAGACTCCCCTGCGTGGACAGCTCCTTGAACCCAGACTCTCAGGTCTTCCTCCTGAGATGCTAGGCAGGCGGGTGTGGGGAGGAGGGCAGCCGACCGGGGCCTGGGAAGGAACAGAGAAAGAGAGAAGCAAGGAGGGAGGGCGGGGCTTGAAGCTCAGGCAGGGAAGGGGCAAGGGGCGGGGCTCCCCTCTTCCCTCACTCGCCTGCAACAATTGTGACACTAATAAAGTCGATCGTCTTTTGGTTTGTACTCTGAAGCTGAGTGGCTCTCCCCTCTCCCACTCCCACTGGCCACCTGCCTCTTCTGGGCCTGCCCTTTCCAGCAGTGGCCTGCCACCTGGGTCTTAATGGGTCCCCTCCCCGCTCTTC